GGGAGGGATCGAAGGGAAGTGCTTTAGTTGAGTTTGGTGATCCTGAGAAGAATAAATACTTTAAGGGATTCCCCCCTTCCCCGTTTTTCCAGTTTTGAGCTAACTGTAAAATATTAATGTGGCTGGCCAGGATTGTTGGTGATCCCATTGAAATCCCTTATTTTTGTTCTAATGAATTCACTGAAAACAGTGACAACACAGTGTATACTGAGAATATAAAAGGGCAGCAATCTCAGTTGTGCCTTCCCTTACAATACGCGTCGTTCAGCTGTATCACAATATATGGTCGCTTTAAAGCTCAAGGGGGATATCCTGAAAATGCGGTTTTGAGAAAATCGAAGGTAAAGCCTTTGTACAGTTTCTTTAAAGCACAAGGAGAGTTTTCTCTATAACCAAACAAATATATACACCAATGAAACCAAACTTCTCCTATAGCTATAGCTAGGGCAATGCCCACTTTGGTGTCGGTCAAGATTTCTGGAATCTCCCGAAATCTGGGTCAGCCCTCTTGTCCTTAAGAGCGACCATAATATGCCCTTCCCCTCTTCCCCTCCACACGCCTTCCTTCTCCCCATGCTTTTCATTTGATATCGAAAGTCGCATTTACAAAATTTAAAGATGGAATCACTTATTTATTGCTACTTTGTCACCCTTCTTTTACAGCATCATCCAGCACCAAGATGGCTGTCTCTTTCCTCCTTCTTCTCCTCGGCCTTCTGGGAATACGCCTGATGTAATTTCCGGTGGACAATCTTTACAACAGTTGGATTAAGAAAATTAAAGAAATTTGAAAATCCGTCAAGAGAAAAGGGACCACAGCGACCCAAAACCGAGCAACTGTGTGTCCGCTTTGTCCAGTGGAGTACGGGAGGGGAAAAAACCCGACACTCCTAAAGATCACAAACCTTCTTTTATTCTCAATGTTGGGACGTTTATTCTCAAAAGAATATTTTGTTTGATAAGATATTATGCCTTGATCATTCTACATAATTTATGAAACAAGTAATACGTTTTATCTTTACTTCTTTCTGTTTTATATTTCTAGGATTATGAGACCTGTGAGTACAGCAATGTACTTACACATTGGAATGCATTGTTAGACCTTTATACAATAAACTGTAAGCAAGTTAACACAGACCCCCAACCTCCTCCCACAGTCAACGATCCCCCTCCCCCCACCACGCAAATTAACAGTCGCATATAGAACAAAGAAGGAAAATCATTTCAATTCAGATACAAAAAGCAACCCCCCCCCCCCATATATTAATCTACACAAGCACAAAATATGAAGGTTTCTATTATGTGCCTTCAATAATCTTGAAGTTAAGAACAAAAAAACCCAAAAACAACCCCAAACAAACCCCAAAACCCCAAAACATTTTTGGGGGGACGCACACCAAAACATCGATGAATAGAATATGACAATATGCAACTCTGTGATTTATCAAATACTGTTTATCAATTTTCTTTCATTCTCGCTTCAAACGTTACGATTGTTGAGATTCTGGGTGAATTTAGTTCGTGTACATTGAGTTGATTTTTCCCACCAAAAATGTCTCAAAAAGAATATACGTATGGTTTTTAATGTTGGTTGGTTTTACTTTTCTAATTATTGATTGCAATCAAGATTATCATTATCATCGTCAAAAAATTATCTTTATTACTGTATTATTATTATTACTATTATTATTATTATTATTATTATTATTATTATTATTATTATTATTATTATTATTATTATCATTAAAATTATTTTTTTTAAAATTATTATTGCCATTATCATCATTATTAGTATTGCCATCTTTGATATGGTTATTATTATTTTATATTATTATTGTCATTATTATTATCATTATTATAATAATAATTACTATAATTATTATTATTACAATTTTGTTGTTGCTATTATTATTATTATTATTATTATTATTATTATTATTATTATTATTATCATTATTATTGTTATTATTATTATCATTATTATTATTATTATTATTTGATTTTTCCTTATTTTAATTTTTAATTTTGTCATAATCAGTCATACGATATTATTGATATAATAATTCATCGATACTACGACTACATGACAACAACAACAACGACAACAACAACTACTACTGCTACTATTACAACTACTACTACTACTACTACTACTACTATTACTACTACTACTACTACTACTACTACTACTACTACTACTACTACTACTACTACTACTACTACTACACGTACTACTACGACTACTTCTGCTTCGACTACTAAACTTGTTTAGTCACTATCATTATACTATCATTTTTATTTTAAAATGTTGTTTTTGTCGTGAGGATCATAAATTTAAATATTTATAATTGAGATTAGGACTTTGGCACTCTTCTACATTCCTGTATTTTCCCTTTGTATTAGATCTATCATTAATGTTAATTTCTGATTGAGAATATTTTTCATCATTAGTTTTATCATTACGCTATGAATTTTGACCTTTTGGTCTTTTGTCTTGATACAGTACTAACTACCGGAAGGTAGATTTTACATATTTTACAGGCCTCAGTGTAATTTTCAGGATAATTTTTTTTTGGTGAAAAAAGACTGCGACATTGTTGAAGCGCAATAACTTTAATAATTGTATTCTTGTTATACATTTCTAAACCACAATAAATAAACAAACAAACAAATAAACAAACAAACAAACAAAACAAACAAAATAAATGATGTGTTTGACGACATAAAAACTTTTAAAAAGTGAAAATGTTTCAGTAATTTATTTTTAAAAATTCTATTTGGATGTGTGTCCTTTTTTGTATGTAACAATACCATGCTATATTAAAAATGCCGAAACAAGTAACAGGCATTTTTACCGTGACAAGGACTACAAACTTTAAACAATAGTGACTACAGCAATTGTATTATGGCCCTGACGGTCAAAATCTTAGCTACATGAAACTTTTGAAACATAAAACTCCGTCCGTGTACCATGCAGTGATGTATGATGTCTGGACGTAGATTTCAATTTATATATATATACAATGTTTATATTATAATATATGAATATATATATATATATATATATATATATATAAATATATATAGTTCATAATATGAATTATATAATGTATATATATTATATATTCATATATACATATATAAAATATGTATATAATGTGTGTGTGTGTATTATATATAGAGATCTGCAGAAAGTGAACGCTCTTGCCAGTCTTTAAGCTGGCCCCACAAGAGAGAATACAGACATATTAAGTTAGATTTTTTAACTCCTTCCAGATCAAAAGGTTTCTCGAATTTGTAAAAAGCCAGTCCGTTTAACGATGAATGAAGCTTTGTAAGAACTCAAGCTTTGAACTTATTTCAACCCCTTAATAAAAAAAGACCTCACGGTTGTTGTAAGCAGGTAAAAGACGTGTGAGAGCTGGGAACTGTTAATTGTTCGAATTAGAACGTTTTGTAGGGTATTTTTATCAACTTTTTGACACTTTCTGATACAGATATTAATATTATTCTACGTTGCTTGGAGTGTAAGTGTAAAGGTTTCGATTTTCGCGTTTTGTCTTGTGGACAAGGTTGATTGATTCTGCTGCTCGGGAGAATTTACAGATGAAACTTGCAGTGTGTTATTTTCGAAATTGTCTATGGCTTTTATGTAGGTACTGTATCTGTAGAACATGTTTTAACCCAGAGCAAAATAGTAACAATTAAGTAACCAGTGAGATCTTTATAAAGTTTAAAATAAGCAGACTTCGTTTTATTTTTTAAATGGATCTATGTTTCTCAGCAAGTCTCATTGTGAAAACCGATAAATTAAAATTACGGATTTCAATTTATATCGAAGAAACTGTCCAATACAGTGATTTCAATTCAAATAAAAGTCATCACTGACTTCAGTCAGCGTTTTTTGGACTCCCTAGAAAATCAAAATCTGTGATTTGGGGAAAATATGCCGTAAATAATTGTGAATGGGCCGCACCGATGCTTAGATGTTGAATGGTTTCCGTGTTAGCTTTCCTTCTGAATTTGCTAAATTGTGTCGACATGGGCGTAAAACACGCTTCACAATTACAATTTTTGCAAGTCATTATACATTGGGATTCTTCAAGAAAAAAGCAGTATAGTCCCCTAATTTTGCGTTTGTTGTTATTATTGTTGTTGTTGTTTTTGTTGCTGTTATTGTTGTTGTTCTTGTTGTTGTTGTTGTAGTGGTTGTTGTTGTTGCTGCTGTTGTTGTTATTGTTATTGTTGTTTTGTCTATTCAGTTCAATTCTGCCTAATAGCCTTTTGAACAAAGCAAAACGTATAGTTTTATCACCGTTAGTATTATGCTTCAGAGACTTGTAATTCTATATTCTTTTTCCAGAATTACTCTATTTGTCTGCTTTTTTGCACTTTTGTAATTTGAATAAATATCTCATATTGCTTTATAAACTTTGAAAAACAATATTAAGAGTTCTACTTGTGTTTTCTGTACAATGAAATGGTTTGACATGTATATTTCTGACGCTCTTCTACTACCCTTTGTTTCGATGTGTTTATGGCCTCTCATTGACTTTGTTGTACTGATGCAGATGTAGTGTTGCCTATCTTCAAGTCGTGTAGCTAGGATGTGGAATCTTTTTCAACAATTTCGTTATTTATGTACCCCACCCTTCCCCCATGGTACCTTAGCAATCTACTAAATCGGCTGATATTTTGAAGTTGATATTCCTTGTGTTCTTGATGAGGAGTTTTGCTTTTTAAAAAATAATAATTCCTGTCAGTTACCATATTAATATTAGTCATCGTGGTTGTAAGTCAATGAGTTTTGCATGCCCTTCGATCTCAGTTAAAGGCCTTAGTGATAGGAGGAGGCAAAACCTCACAAAAGCAAAGCAAAACAAAAATAAGTACGTTTAAAGAGCTTCGCTTTGAAAACTGTGACCACATCCCCCTTTTTTTTCCTCTAAATGAAAGGGATGCGTTGAAGTATTGCTGCCCTAAATTGAATAAGTTTCCCTGCACCCTCACTTCAAACTTCTAAAAAGGTAAAATACATGTAAAGACCTCATCCAGATAGTTCTGGTCTTTAAAAGTTGGTTGAAACGAGAGCGTTGTATGATGATGTCGTGTTGCTAAGTCGTAACTTGTCCGCCTGATCTGGCAATTTGTTGTACAATGAAATAAAATATTTAAAACAGAAAATTATTTCCACAACAACAAAACCCAAATCAAAACTGTGAAGTAAAATCCACGGTATTTGATTTTTTTTCTTTCTCAAATTTTACTCAACTGGCCTATCTACTACTCAGCCAAACCTCCCAGCCCCCAAACCACCTCTACCCAAAAATCCCCACCCCAAAAACCTACCCGCATTCCCTCAACACCACAAGCGCACATTCCAGGCCAACAGAGAAAGAAAATTCCATTCCGAAAGAAAATTTTGAAAATGACAAATCCTCAGAACAGACAAAGGAAGTTCTTGTTTCGCATTGAGTTAAGGAGAAACCCGCAACAAAAGTCGTGTGGGACACATTGAAGACATGTCCACATTGTTCGGACAAATTGATCAGATCAGGGAGTTGAGGGGGCGTATTGTGGGTGGCTGACTGACCGTATGAGTGAGCTGAGACTCTAACCTATTAATCTATTGACCTATTAACCTTTTGGGATGAGTTGACCAAGGCTACTCGTAGCTGACCCTTCGAGACAACATGCGCGGTAAACCTTCCCTGTCCGTCTGTTTATCTGTCTATCTGTCTGTTTCTCTTTCTCTCTCTCTCTCTCTCTCTCTCTCTCTCTCTCTCTCTCTCTCTCTCTCTCTCTCTCTCTCTCTTTCTCTCTCTGTGTCTTACTCCCCACCCCATCTCTCTTTCCATCTCTCTCCTTCTTTCTCTCCCTTTCCCCCTCCCCTCTCTCCCCCTGCCCCCACTCCCTCTCTCTCTCTCTCTCTCTCCCTCTCTCCCTCTCTCTCTCTCTCTCTCTCTCTACCTCGAGTCAGTCTCCCCGTTTCTCACCAC